GGTATAAAAATATAACAGCAAAACAGGCTGCCCGTAGGCTGAAATCATTGGTTTACTATTTACCAATTAAACTAAAGCAAAAATTATTGAAAAAAGTGATATATACAAGGTCATCAAAATTAACAAATATTACAATCCATTTACTTAAAAATTTAATTTAAAATGAGAAAAAAAAATATACACAATTATCAAAATTTGCAATATACATGAATAAAAGTAATATTATGATTATATTTCTTATTATAAGTCAATCGTGACATCATTACTGTAACTCCCAATGTTATTTGCCTATTACCCAGCGTCCACTAATTTTTCTATTAGTGGACGCTTGGCTTGATTGTTTTTTAGGTTTGGTGCAAAAAAAAATTTCTAATTTTTTTTGTCACCGCGAATACATCGCGCACTGCAATAAAAATTGAATTGTAATTGAAAATTACTTTCGTAAAACAAGCTATAATTAGAACCCGAAGAAAGTTACTTCAAATTAAATATTAAGTGAACAATTAAGGAATTCATTGAATCAATGGACCCTCATAAACACAACAAAGTGAATGTTTAATAGGAATATTCTAGACCTAATGTAAAGACTCAAGGAACAAATCATCACACAATTTTACCTGTCTGCATGCACCGACCAAAAAGGACGTCAGTGACTGTATTCTCTCTCGAATGCTGAAATGTTTATTTCTTTGACGAAAGTCTATTAAAATAGCATTACAAACAAGTTCTTTATAGTTATTCATCGTATCCGTACTGTACTGCTGATATGTAGTTAATTAAATGCGTACTGTAGGAGCAAAAATCAACATACGCACAGCTAAATGTAAATACGCACACCTAAATGTAAATACGCACACGTATACTGATCATATCACTATAGCAACCGATGACTGCTACAAAAGTTGGTTATAAAAAACTAAAATTAAAAGATGGCGATTGACTTATAAAGCAATTAGTAGAGCATGCATTGTACACTAAATGGAAAATTATTATACTTAGGTTAGATTTAATGCATTCAAAAATTTCCTTTGGGCCTTGCAGGCCCTTAGGAAATTTTTTCAAGCATTAAATCTAACCTTCGTTCAATAATTTTCCTATAGTATACTATGCGGAGCTCCACTAATTGCTTAATAGGGAATGATATCTGAATAAGTATTCTATACACTTCCAAAAATGTTGTTTATACAATTTCTCCTTCGTGTATTTCACTTTTTTCTCCAAGTTGGTTTGTCTTTCTACTTGTAATTACATTTTTTTGAGATGAAATATGTAATATTCCAATATGTTTTTTCTTGTATATAGTCAAGAGAACAGTAGCTACAATAACAAAACAACATCCAAATGCACTTACGACTATTGTCTGGGAGTGATCTGTTGATACTTGACTGTAGGGTGAATAGACAGGGATCGGCATGTCATTCTTAATAACTTTCATTATGTATGTGTAATTACCAGTGGCATTATTTTTATAAGCTTTGCAAGTTACATGGCATCCATTCATATCTATAGCAATAGTGTTGATATAAATTTTTTCATATATGATTTTGAACTTGTTTGTCATATCACTACTGCAATTTTTGAACGTCCATTTGTAAGAAACCATTTCAAAATCCTCCTCTATGTTGCATGTTATGTTGAGGCTATCTCCTGTATAACTAATCTCTCCAGCGTATGTAAACGTTGGTGCTGTAGCAGTGGTGTACACATGCAGTTGATTAGTGATGTTGAGAGCCTCTGTGGAGCACATACGCGGAACTTGTTCTCCCTCCATTTCCATCAGGCATCTGTACTGCTTACCATGTTGTTGCTTTGTAGCTTCAAAGCTAGCAAATAATGTTGTGAAGTCTGTCTTCCGTCTCAATTCTGTGCCTTGCGGTGGGTCAAACCATTTCATATGAAAATTCCCTTTGCTTTCGGAGATGCACGACATCATGACTTTATCACCTTCCGTATATAAATGTTTAGAAAGAATGCATTGTGGGTATTTTTTGTGTGGTATAGCTCGAACCGTCAAATTTCCCTGCCTTGACATTGCTATAACATGTGTCCCATGTTTAACAACACATTGATATTGGCCTTCATCGGACAGTTGGACATCTGAAATATCTAACACTAGATTACCTTTACTAATGTCAACCTTTTCTTGATCGTTGTAATCCGGTATAAATGGTGCTCCATCTTTCAGCCAACTGTATTCCATTTGGTTGGTAAGGTCGGTTAACTCTCCATGCAGGACACATAGGAATTGAACATTATTATGTTCATGGACCTGAATATGCTCAGGGTGGAAAGCAACAGTTATATCCAATTTCAGACATCTAGATAGTGGGTAAAAGCACCAAGAAATGATTAACAACTGTTGTACTGAAGCCATTTTTCCATAATGCAGTTACTGTCAGTTGGAAAATGGTCGTTTATTTTTCCCTCTTTGATTTTCCCTCCCTTTTGATTTGATTGGTTAATCACTTCTGCCATGAAGGAATTTATAAATACAATACATTATGTTCTACATGCATGAGTAGACATGAGTGCAATACATGCACAATTTTTCAGTATGTTGATTTATGCATGGAGGTATAGAAAGTATACCGCCATGATTTATGATAGTCACCAGTGCTAATTAATTTGAATTTTCCTCCCAAATTCAATTAAGACTACGCCATTGGCTGATGTTAATTTGGCTCAATCATTGCAGATGATGTGATTGGTTGTGCAATGGTCGTTCCCATTTCTAATGTGGGTTGGTTTTGATCAATAAATTATTTAAGTAAAGACAGTTAATGTGTCTGTCAATAAAAACAAAAAATAGTTAAACAAATAAATGAGAAGACCTACTATGTTTGAGTATAATTGTTTTAAGTAAGTGTAATTTTCATTTGTAATTTTAATTTTAATGGAACAATCTTGGCTGCCAATCCCTGGATCAACAAGCAAGAGGTCATAACAAAGCCATTATCACGCTCAAACCAGCTCAAACATTCTGTAAATTACTTTATTTTGTGGTAGCAATGCCGCATTTGTATTTTACGTATAATTGGTCACAGCATTAAGATATATTGTGTTTGTGTTTTTTGAGTAAAATTTAGAGCAGACTTCTTGGTAATTAAACAAAATACAAATTAATTTGCCTGGTAGATCTGCTTTGATTATGTATTGAAACATTAAGTTGGCCAACAAGTTCAATGATAAGTAGGCATGCTATAACCAGATTATCACATAGAGTAGGTCTAATACATTGTACTTTTGGACTACAGTGTATATGGCATTGTGTGTTTATATGTAGTTTATACTATTTCTTGGCTCATAATGCCCTACAGTATTATGTACAGCCATATCCAGTAAATGATGATAGGCCTTGTTGCATACCTTTTTTTCTAGTCTAGTGAATCTATCCTTATATATATACATAAAAAGTACAGAAATTAAGTAAAAGAACAGTATCAAACTAGATAATAGCTACTAGGACCCCTTCCTATATGAGGTGCCAAGTGTAAATTTATTAAACACAAATACATATAATTAATTATTTAACATATAATTGAATTGATCACCCATTATTTATATATAATGCATTTACGTCTAAAAGATTTATATGTAAATAATTGTGTTAACGTTTGCATTATTTATATATAATTAGTTTACTGATTTCATTATACATAAATAATGAAGGGGTAACCAAACATTATTTATATATAATAAGGTTACTGGTTTCATTATATATAAATATGGAAAGGGTATCACATCATTATATATAAATAATGAAAAGTAACTTACAATTATTATTATATATAAGATCACTGATTCCATTATATATGAATAATGAAAAGGTAAATTTCCTATCATTGAAATTGTGTATTACACTTAATAACACATTGATATTGGCCTTCATCAGACAGTTTCACATCCAAGATTCCTTAGGCTATGTTCACACACACGGCGTAAGGCTGGCTTAAGCCTGGCGTAGCGTACGCCTTTGTGTGTGAACTAGGCAGTGGCGTTGTTAAAGCCACTCACTACGCCACGTCCTTGGCGTTATTAACGCTATCTGCAGACCCCAGATTAGCTAACGCCACTGAGCTAACGCCAGTGATGCTTGAATGATTTGATCTCATTTCAAGAGATTGACCAATCACGATTGCAGTATATTAGCTACTTTGGTCTCTTTTCTGTGCTCTCTATAAATGAAATGGTAAAGGGGTTCCTTTTCTATTGCATTTTACTTAGTTATAATGTATATGATCTATTGATTGTGTTTTGTAAGATATTTTAACCATTTAGACTGTCTATTAAAACATGCAACATCAACAATGCTAGCTGAAAAATCAAAAGTAAAATTGTTCATTTAAAATACAATAATCATATAAGTTCACTTCGAACAATTCACAGATTTAAAAGTTTTCATGATGCACTGTTAATTTTACTACTGTTAACACGTACATTATTTAAAACTGAAAACTATTCCACATAGGCCTATATTATTGCTAGTTTAACGAACGCCGTTTGTGTGAACACTTTGGAATTTTAATCCGTGCATTAGCTTACGCCTGGCGTAAGCCACACCAGTCTTACGCCGTGTGTGTGAACATAGCCTAACACTAGATTACCTTCAATAATATCAACCCTTTCCTGATCGTTGTAGTCTGCTATAAATAGTGCTCCATCTTTCAGCCTACTGAATTCCATCTGAGTGTTAAAGTCTGTTAACTCTCCTGGAAGGATACATTGAAATTTAACATTACTAAGTTCATGAACCTGAATATGGAATATGAGATTATTAACAACTGTCGTACTGAAGGCATGCCTGCTTGTTGTAATGCTGTCAGAGTGCCTTTAAATGACTCATTGTGTTTTACATGTATATTTCCCTCTTTTGAGTTGATTGGTTTAATGCAAAGATCTTATAAACACAAGATAGCGTTCTCCGCGATTTATGCGTAACAAATAGAAGCGTCGGTCAAGGTTCAAAAGTTTCCAATTTAGCAAGAGGGCGCCATTCATGCGCTATTATAT